ATTGCCGTCTTATCAGGGCGGCTGCGCGAGGGCGCGAAGATTGCCTTGGAAGAACGGCGGTCCCTCACCCGTTCCCATTTTGGCTCAGAGGGTACAGTTTGTTGTATCATGGATTCTGTTATTCCACCCGCGCTTTTCTCAGAATGCACATGGGGCCCGTCTCCTGTTGCAGGCATGTTGACAGCGACCGATCGGAGAATGTTGTGGCGTGAGTTTCGATGTAGAGTTCAAGTTCGTGGACGCCGAGGAGCCTGGAAGTGTCTTTACGCCACGGGTCCGGCATACGCATTGCCAGCGGCTTGGTCGAATGCTATGTGGCGGATCTCGTTCAACAACTCGTTGGCCCTCGGGAACGCAGTCCACGGCCGTGGCTCGCCGTGGACGGACAGCTACCAGTGGCCGCCGAGGGCGGACAGCTACCAGCGGCCGCCGAGGACGGACAGCTACCAGTGGCCGTGGACGGACAGCTACCAGTGGCCAACAGCGTCATCACCTAGCTACCAGTGGCCCGGCATCACCTCGGCGGCTCCAGGCACGTGGGAAAACCAAGCCGACGGAGTCCCCATCAGCGTGGCGCGAGGCATCTCGGATGAGCCAGCCAAGATCGAGTCGAAGCTGAGCACTGTAGACGAGGCGGGCGAGACTGATGAGCCAGCGCTCGACCTTTCAGCGGAGCGTTGTAGCTCGACTTTGCCGCAAGATTGGCCCGCTGTTGATTAGTGTTCATTTTTCCCTTGGCGCGCAGCCACTGTTAATTGGATGAGTTCCATAGGTGGCTGCGCGATCACTGTTAATTGGATGAGTTCTGATGCTCGCGCGAGCACTGTCGCGTGGGAGGGTCGAGCATGGCATCGGTGGCGAAAACGACACAGAGAAAGAGCACGCCCTTGCGTCCTTGCTTACGCGGCTAATCCTGGCGCACTTTGGACGTCCAAACGCATCCATTCTGGGAGGCCCAAGGGCCTTGTGTCCTCACCTTGCCTTTGGTTGTCAATTTCGACGGCGCCGTTCTCACTATCGCCCTCCTCCCCTTGTCCAGCTCCTCCTCCTCCTCCTGGCTTGCCCCGCCCCCGCCCGAACGGATCCGGGCGTTTTCGGGGGCCCCCCATCGCTCGTCGCCGCGGCCGGGCGCAGCCAGAGAAACTGGTGCGCGTGGACCCCGAGAGGTGCCCTGGGGGGGGGCCATCCGAGAGGCAGGGAGAAAGTGGGGGGAGGGGGAGGGAACTGATGGGAGAGGGAAGGGGGAGGTGAGTGAACTCTGGCCCACGAGGCGACCCCATATGGCGAAGCGCCCGCGGACGCTGTCGCTGATTGCGGCGGCCCCGACCGCCAGCACCCATGATATGGCCCGCGCAATGACGACCCTATGGGGCCCCGACGAACCGAGCACGACGACGAGACATCACCTTCGAAAAGAACTCGATGAGCTGGTTGAGACAATCACGCCTTATGGGAGACTTATACAAGAGATGCAGTTTGATGCTTTGGGGCAACCTGCCAAGTTTCTATATGCGCAGCCGGCTGCTTTGATTTGGATGGCTTGCGCCCTGAATCCAAAGTTCGGCGATTTTACCAGCTCGTGTGTGAATGATGGGCGCCCTCTGCGGCTCACGATCTATGCTGACGAATTCACGGCTGGGAACGTTCTCGGTTTCGAGCCCCGCAGTGTGATGGCAGTCTACTACACGTTTGCCGACTTCCCTGCGTACTTCAGAAAACGCACCAACTCTTGGTCCAGGGGGCCCGCGTGCGCGCACTCCCGCACTACAGGGGGGGAGAGAGAGAGAGAGAGGGAGAGAGAGAGAGAGAGAGAGAGAGACAGAGAGAGAGAGAGAGAGACAGAGACAGAGACAGAGAGAGAGAGAGAGAGAGAGAGAGAGAGAGGACGACGACGACGACGACGACGACGACCACGACGACGACAACGTCGACGAAGAGGAAAATGAGGAGGGGGAGGAGGGGGGGTGAGGAAGGGGAGGGGGGAGGGGGAGGGAGGAAGGGAGGGGGCGAAGGCCCCTCAGGAGGAGGAGGAGGAGGAGAGGGGGCGCGCGGGCCCCTCGAAAGGTTCGCATTAGGCATCGTGGACGTCAATGCGCTGAAAAACATCGAGGGCGGCATGTCAGCAGTTACTGCTGCCATCATGCGCATATTTTTCCCGAGGGACGGCCTTAACCTCGAAGAAATCGGTTTCAACATCCCCACGACCCAGGGCGAGAAGCATATCCGCATGAAGTTTGCTTTTTTCTGCCAGGACGAAAAATCGTTCAAGATGATGTACGAATGCGTTGGTGCCTCGGGAAATCGCCCATGCATTTTATGCCAGAACATCATATCTCATCGAATGGGGATCGAGGGCCACGACTATTTCAAGACGGTTGCAGAGGCTCGATGGAATGATTGCGTCCTCCACACCGATGCACCGATAATGAGGCTCCCGCCCGCGCCCCCCGGGCATCCCTGGGCAAGGAGGAGGAGGAGGAGGAGGAGGAGGAGGAGGAGGAGGAGGGGGGAGGAGGGAGGAGGGAGGATCTCAAGGAGGGGGGAGCGAGGAGGACGAGGGGGGAGGAGGGGGCGGGAGGAGGGAGGAGGGGGGAGGGTGGAGGAAGAGGAGGAGGGAGGATAGAGGATGGAGGACGGAGGAGGGAGGATGGAGGAGAGAGGAGGAGGAGGGAGGGAGAGTTTCTCGGCAGAGATCGCCCGAAGCAGAGCAAGCGTCACGCGCGCGGGGGCCCGCGGTTGCGGGCGCGGCAGTTTCAAGAGACCGCAGATGCAATCCAACATGCTCGCTCCACTTTGGGCAACACGGCTTATAAAAAAGAAGTGACAGCTCTAGGACTTCACTACGTGCCCGGAGGCGTCCTTTTCGACCCAGCGAGCAAAGCCGTGTGCCACGTTCCGAGTGCCACATTCTTCGATTACATGCATTCAGCACTTGCCAGTGGAGGGGTGGCGCAGCACCACGTAAACTCTTTCTTGATCCACGTTCGGGACCATTTCAACATAACCCCCGCAGATTTGGACAAGTTTGCAGCGACGATAAGAATGCCAAAGGCTTTCACCAAATTGAGCGATTCCTTTTTCCAGAACCGAGTTCGTTTGGAGGGCTCATGTATCAAAGCGTTCGCTGGAGAAATGTTGTCAGTTGTTAGTGTCTTAGCACTCTTTTGTAGGATGGTGGCCGCTGATATACCTGGCCTCGAGGCCCATGTACGTTGCATGTTCACACTAGAAGAACTAAACGATTGGTTGGTCATTGCCCCTGAGCACCTTCTGGTCCGAAACACAGATCGGGTCCACTACTTAGTAGAAGTATACCAGGAGATGGTCCCCGAATTGTGCCCATCTACAGAAAGGCCGAAACTCCACTATTTAGTGCACATACCGCAGCACATTGAGATGCACAAGTGCATGTTCACGGCGTTCGCGCCGGAGAGAAGGCGCAAGTTGGCGAAGTCAATCAGCAACAACTGTTTTGGCCAGGCTCTGAACATGCATCCGCTCAAGAAGCTGACTGCGATGCACCTTGAAGCGTTGCAGAACGAGGAAACTTACAAAGCTGATTTCCTTCACAACCCCAAGCCCGCCCCAGAGCTTCAACAATGGTTCCATGGGCACTGTAAAATATAAATGGGGGGAGGTTTGTATCTTCTAACCCTGGCGCCACCCCCGCTTCTCGCCAGCCCAGGCTCCAGGAGATGACTGGCCAGGATCTACGCCATTTTGAGTTGCGCCTATCGACGCGCATGCAGACTCATCGTGGCCAAGTTCAAGTAGGTGAGCTTCTATGGTTTCTGCGCCAGGGCAGGCGCGCCTTGTGCTCGCCGAAAGGTTTTCTCGAGGCGGGCCAATCTCATTATGCTATCGGGGACGGCTTTGAGCAGCTCGAACATGGCAAGTTTAAGCGTTCGGAGTCCGGCCGTCTGCTTTGTTTTGACATGGCAGACTTTGGTGGAAGCCTTGCGTGGGCCACTGTCGATGTAGGAATTTTTCCATTATTCCCTCGATTGCCACTGTCATTGTGAATGCCCGTCGGGCCTCCTAGGGATAAGGGAGGGAATGGAGGAGCAGGGGGGAGGGAGGAGGAGGGGGAGGAGGAGGAGAGGGAGGCGGGAGAAGGAGGAGGGAGGAAGGAGGAGAAGTGAAGTTGGAAGAAGGAGAAGGAGGAGGAGGAGGAGGAGGAGGAGAGGGGGGTATATCGAACCCTTCGACCACAGAGCCGAACCCCTCAGCCAGGGAACCGAACACCTCAGCCAGGTCCTCCCCCTCCTCCTCCCCCTCCCCCTCCTCTTTCCCGCGCTCCTCTCCCTCCTCCTTCCCCCCCATCCCCCGGCTGCCCCGCTCCCGGAGGGGTGCGGCGTATCTAGATGAGGATGGGCTCGGGGATCTATGCCTGCGCATGCGCGCGGGGGCAGAGCTTGTTGGCTGCAGCGCGCTTGTACAGGCAAGGGTAACGATTGCAAAGCAGCAGCAGCTCTGGTGTACAGACAGCGGCCGACGCCTTCGAAACAAGTGCCAATGCCGCCCCGTGCCCCGAGACTGAGGGGGAGAGAGGAGAGTGGTATATACAAATATATATATACACACATATGCACATACAGAAACTAAACGCATGTCTATATGACGCGCTTCCAAAAAACAACAAAATGGCTTCCAGGAGGCCCAGGGCGCCTCCAAGAGGCCGACGCTGGACGCAGCTGGTAACTGTTGGGTTGCTCCGCCAGATGCAAGGCCCCAGACACGCTGCGAGACGATTTGGAGCCATCGACCCCGTCTTTCTCGGGCCGAGCTGACCACTGCGGATACGGCGCCAACGAGTAACCGAGTTGCGCTGGTGCTTTCGACCCTGCCGTGTCTTGCGGCCGCCCGAGCTGGATCGATCCGCGATGGCAGGCCGCCCCCCGTGACCACCGTAAGATAGCCATTTTTGGTCCAAGCCGTTGAAGTTGCAGCCTCGCACTTCGCTCCTGCAAAGGCGAACGATCGCTCGTAGACCTCAGCCGATGTCGGGCGCCTCTGCTCCGGTCGTCAGTGCTGCGCAGGGCGCGGCTGGCGACGCCTCTGGTTCGGGCGGCTCGTCCATGGCCAACCTTTGTTGTTCGTGTTCCAAGCCTCTGGGTGACAACGGAGTTTTGGTCTTCCGCGCTGGCCAAAAGAAGGCAGACGCAGGGGTCTTCAGGTGCAGGGTGTGCCACAATTTGAAAAGCCGCATGGGCCACATGTTCACGAAGGGACTGCTCGATCGCTCAAGGTTCAACGCGGTTGGGGTCGATCAGAGGACCTCCATCCTCGAGGGGGCTAAGCATCTCTACGGCGACAAGCTCAAACTCTACATCGAAGAGTCCCTCGAGCGCATCAGCGAGACCAGTGAGACCAGCCTCTTCAAGGGCACTGGCGTGTTCAAGGACGAGAGCGAGTTGGAGACTATGTTCAAGGATAAGCCGAATGTGCTGGCGGCGATCTACCGCAACGCCAGGACAATCACGTGCACCACGACTGAGCGGAAGTTGTGGGAACTCCCGACTTACGAGACAGTCCACGTTTACAAAGAGCAGACGACAGAGATCCGGAAGCGCAAGGTCCACAACGAGTCCACAGCAAAAGCAGCGAAGCAGCCCAAAACAAAACCGGAGGATGGGCCCAACGATCCCGCGGGCCCGCCCAAGGACCAGAAGCAGCTGACGGCGTCGGACGCCAAGAGGCTGATGGCTAATATATGGGCCGAGGTTTCGAGCCAAGTTTGAGCCGAGGTTTGAGGAAAGGTTTCGAGCCAATGTATATATATACACAGAGAGATAGAGGAGTGAGTGAGTGAGGACTATATACATATGCGTCTATATATAGAGAGAGAGAGAGAGAGAGAGAGAGAGAGAACAGGAGGGGAAGCGAGGAGAGAGCGGGAGAGATAACTTATAAGGAGGGGGCGACCCAGCCTGTGCCCCACCTGACAGGGCGGCGGTTCGGGGGAGGAGGAGGTGGATACATATGAGAGAGAGAGAGAGAGAGAGAGAGAGAGAGAGAGAGAGAGAGAGAGAGGGCCGAGGAATCTGTAGCGGGGGTCGGACCGCCTCCCCATCCTCATCCGGCCCCCGTCCCCCGCCCCTTCCTCCAGCGCCCCCACCTCCCCCTCTCCGTCGACGCCCCTCCACTTTCCCTGCTTCCCGCGAGGTGCAGGAGGAGAAACTCGCTTTCGGGGGCTTGGTCGCTAACGTGAAGGCTCCGGAGATGTCCGATTACATTTCTGCCCGGACGCTCCAGGCCGCCATTGATGCTGAGGCGACGCTCGAGCAGCTCGAGAAAACTTTGGGCATGGCTCTGACTGCTGAGACCGTGGCCAAAGGGTTCGTCAAAGATGCCTGCGCCGAGGTGGCTTCGGCGCTGGAGGAGTGCAAGCGTCTGAAGCCCAGGGTCCAGGGGGCGCTGGACGAGAAGGCGGAGGAGGAGGGTGAGCCGGAAGAGGAGCAGCAGGAGGTTCCTGCCAGTGAGGGAGACACGATGGTCGCTTAACGGTCCTGTCTTGCAACCACACACGGTGGTCGATTAACGGTCCTGTCTTGCAACCACGAGACGACGAGTTGGCGGGCGTACAGTGCAGCCTAGAAGTGCAGGCTAGACTGCAACCCTGCCGTTGCCCTGTTTCGCGATGACGCTTTGGAGGGTGTATAGCGCAGCTTTGACTGCATCCCTGCCACTGCTCTCTCAATGGGCGCATTCGTCCCTCGCCTTGCGCTGCAGCTTTCAGATATCCAGCGTTGCTTCTGTTCCAGTTGCGCCTAGTTGGTCAATGTCATGACCCTCGCGCGGCGAAAGCCGATGGCAATTTCGAGGAGGCGTGGCCCCCTTACTGCTTCGCACACTCATCTTGTATCCGAGATCGAGAGACGATGTCCAGGCGAGTTGTCCATTCGACGACGCCGAAGGCGACGACGAAGACGACGACGACCGACCGACCGACCGACCGACCGACCGACGACGACGACGACGCCGCCTCCTGCTGCTGCTCGTGGCCCGTGCGCTGCTTTGTGTTTTCGTGTCTGCCTCCCTCTCCCACTTCTCCATTATGTCGCCTCCAGGTCGTCATCCCTCCTCGTCCTCCCCTCGCTTGCATCCTCCCTCATCGTTTCGCTCTTTCGACTCTTTCGATGTCCCTGCCTGCCTGCCTGCCACTGCCTGCACTTTTGCACATCCTTCCGGATTCCTTGGCTTTGCCCGTCCGCCGCCCCCCGTGCCACTCGCCGCCGCGGCTGGATTCGCCTCGAACCGTTTCCTCCTTCGTTGTCTCCCTCCGCTCTTTCCTCCCCTCGCCTCCCCCCTCCCGTCCTCTCCCTCTCGGCTCCTCGGCTTCCTCCCGCTCTCTCTGCCTTGCCCCGCCTCGGGGCGGCGGCCTCCTGCGGGCGCGAAAGGTTGAACCTGTCTTGGAGGCCTCGAAGCCCTCTTGGGGCCATCTTGGAAGGCATCGATCAAAAAAGGGGAGGGGGGGCAATGAGGCCCCCCCCCCTTCGGGAGCTTCCAGAATAGCTTATCGGGGCGGTCTTGGGGTCCTTCTTGAGGCCTTCGTGAGCGATCTTAGCGAACTCAAGCAGTAGTTATCATTAAACATACCCTATAGGCTTGGCCGCTCCGCGGGTTCCCCCCCTTGTCCTTGCCCCTCGCCCGCCCTGCCTGAGCCCGTGCGGGCGGCGGAGTGGGGGAGCCCAGTTGCGGGCTTCAACCATCCCTTGGGTGGGCGGCCATGCCCATCAGCCTCGCTTCTTTCTGAGTCGACGCGCTTCGTTGCCCCATGAGGGGCCCCACTTAAGGCCCCAAGGGCAGTGCTCACACATGAGGGGCTCCACTTAAGGCCCCATGAGGGGCTCCACTTCTTAAGGCCCCAAGGGCGTCGCCCCCGTCGTGGCCCAACTGCACATGGTTGGGTCTTTCGCCAAGAGAAGGGTGACTCATTGGCGCTGTTTGGCCCGAACAATACTTCCACTCGGGCCCTCCCACAGCCCTTGCTTAACCCGCGCGGCCCATCGCCATGGCCGACGCGCCCATCGAGATCAAGTGTTGCACGTGCGGCGGGTCTGCTGGCCCGAATCCTGTCAGGAACGGCCTCCACAGCCATCGTTGCCGACTTTGCGCGAACTTCAGGAATCGCTTGTACAGGATTCTCAATAAAGCTGGGCAGCTGTCCTACTCGCATGCCATGTCCAGCAACGAGGTTAAGCAGACGTTCGCCAGAGATAACAACACTAAGCACGGCAACAGTTTAATGATGGCCGTCCAAGAGGCATTTGGCGGGGGAGGCGCCGTGGCCATCGAGCAGAAGGCCGAGGAGGTTTCGACAAGTGCTGGGTCCCCGTCTCCCAGCGCATCTTCCAGATCACCCGACGCATCAAGCCCGCCAGCTGCCGGATCACCCGACGCATCAGACTCGCCACCCAGCCCTTGCGCGGCAGATGCCGGATCGAGCAGCGCGGCGAGCAGCTCGGGGAGCACATCGGGATCCTCAACGCGTGGCTTGGCGATCCAATTCGCTGACTTGCAGATTCAGGATGAGGAAATCCCGAGTTCCCCGATGGCCAAGAGGAGGAGAGTGTGCAAAACGTTGGCCGACGATCTCCACATGGCCAGGATGCGCCTCGCCATGTGCTCGTCCTACCTTGACTCCGTTCTATCCGACCCCAAGCTCAAGGGCCCCCACGTCGTGGATGCATTTCTTGCAATCAACCGCATGAAGAATGCCAACATGGGCCTTCATCTAGAAATCGATGCCGTCCTCTCCGGCGAAGAGTTCATGTGGCCCTCAGGTGGCAAGATGGAGCTTCTTGTCAGAATATCGGAGCAATGCGACATCTGCTGCGTGGTCGGGGCTCGCATCACGACTGGTATGATTCCGTTTGAGCCAATCTTCTAATATGTTCGTTGTGGCTTGGACCCAGCGCTAACGGCTTCCTGCTGCGCGGATCGATTCTGTATAGTTGGCGCGTGTCCACTCACCCTGTACAGATGGGTTGAGCGTTTCGCCTCGCAGCCGAGCCATCTCTGATTGCTAACTCGCCGAGCTGCCATCCGCCTCGGACTTGAAACGGAGCCTCTTCCCAACTCCTCTTCCTCCTCCAGCTCGTCCTCCTCCTCCCCCATCCTCCTTCCTCCCCCATTCCACCCCTCGCTCCTCCTCCCTTTTCCTCTCTCCACCTCCTCCTCTTCCTCCAGCCCTTCTTACCCCCTCCTCTCCCTGCCCGTCTCTCTTGGGCGGCGGCGCAGCCGGCCCGCCTGGGGTCTGCTCGAGGGGGTCGAACTTGCAAGGGGCCTCGCGTCGGGACGCGGCAATCAGGCTTCCCTCGCGCCCGATGCCGAACTCCTGTTGCTCTCGGAGAGGGGCCCAACTCACGAATCCATTCCGCGGTTCGAAATCCAATCGGCTTCAGGGCCCAGATCCACATATAGACGTCCAAAATCCCCCCAAACTCCCCTAAATACGTCAATCCGGACCCCCCAAAAATCCACCCCCCCCCCGAAAACCCCTCGTCCCCGTCACCGTACGACGTCCGACGGATCCGTACGGACATCCGTACGGATCCGTACGGACGTCCGTACGGATCCGTACGGAGGATGGGGTTTTCGGGGGGGTGGGGGATTGGGGGGGTCCGGGTTGGTGTATTTTTGGGTGATTTTGGGAATTTTGGAGGGGAGGGTCCGGATTTTGGGGGTCCGGATTTTGGGGGGTTTGGAGGTTTTGGGGGATTTGGGGAGTCCGGATTTGGGGGACGTTGGGGGATTTTGAAGGTTTTGGGGGATTTGGAGCCCCCATTGCACCTGCGGTCTGCAGGCCTACAACCCCACTAAACGTTCCTCGAGATCGTGGGTCCTCAGCTGTCTAGGCGTCTCGCGGCGGGTTGCCCCGCGCGCTTGCTGAGGACGTTTACATTCGCAGGGGGAACGCTCTGCCTCTTCGACGCGCCGCCCCGCTGCGCCCCGTCCCCCTTCCTCCTCCCTCTCATCCCCCTCGCCCCCATCCCTCCCCCCTCCCCTCTCCTCGCAACCCTCCATTGCCCTCCTTCAGGTCTTGGCCTGGGAGCTGATATCAGAGGGGGGCGCGATTTTCGAAGAGGTTAAGTGATTCCCTTGCCGCGTCCTGATCCATATAACCTCTCAGAGATAAGCCAGAAGCCATGGCCCCGGCAGTCTCCAAGACGAAGTGCCGCCCTGCGAGTTCCCCATCAATGTTGAACGATGTCGATTGGATGTTATCTAAGACCCCAGTGCCCGACATGGGCTTGACAACCAATCCCTTGAATTCTTGACGCTTCGCGAATCCCCGCGATGCCCAGGCGAGTTGAGGCGGCCAAGGAAGCGTGGGGGCAGATAAGGGGGGCAGCCGAACCGTGCGAAGGAGGGAGGAGAGGAAGGAGGAGGCTGGATGGATGGATGAGGGAGTGGGGAGAAGAAAGATGATTAGGATGAAGATGATGAGGAGGAGGAGAAATACAGAAACATGAATAGGAGGAAGGATAAGCAGGAGGAGGAGAGCGAGCAAAAGGGCCAGAGGTCTTCGGAATGCCTCTCGGAGCCACTTGGGATATCTCTTGGCCGTTTCTTGGAGGCCTTTTGGGACGTCGGGGGGGTCTCTTGGGCGCCTCGGGCGGGGGCAGCTTGGGGATCTCTTCGAGACTTATTGGGGGCCCCTGTGGGCCATCCTGGGGCTACTTGGGGCCATATTGGGGCGCCTTGGGGATTCCTGGGCGCCTCTTGGAGCCATCTTGGCAATGTCTTGGAGCGTTCTTGGGGCCTCCCCGGGCATCTTCGGAGCCACCGTGAGGCATCTTAGGGTATCTTCAGCCATCTAAAAAACAAACAAATCAAAAAAAAATCAAAAAAAACAAAAAAAAAACACATCAAAAAAAATCAAAAAAATAAAAAAAATCAAAACAAAAAAAAACAACACACAAAAAAAAACAAATCAAAACAAAAAACAAAAACTTACATTCCTTCAAAATCAAAAAAAATCTTCAAACAAAAAAAAAAACAAATAAAAAAAAAACAAAAAAAAAAAAAAAATCAAAAAAAAAAAAAAAAAAAAACAAAAAAAAAAAAAAAAAGGCCATCTTGGAGATCCTCTTGGGCTCTCCGAAGCGCTCTCGGAACCGCCTTGGGCCGTCTTGGACGCCCCAGCCCCTCGCGCCTCCCTCCCCCCAATCAGGTCCAGGAGAGAGGGGGGGGGGGCACCTTTCCCCGAAGGCAAACAAGGATGTTGGAAGAGAAGAACGCCTGCGCCCAGAGGGCGAGTGGGATTTCAAACGGCCGCTTCGGATCGCCTTGCCATGCGTTGGCGTGGACGGGTGCGGCCACGCCCTGGAGGCTTTGAAGATTAAGTACGTGGCCCGACACGTGCATGATCTAGAAGCTGGTTACAAGGACGCGCCGGCAGCGCACCTTGGCCCCGACGTGGCCAAACTTGGCAAGAAAGATGGCGACCTCACCCAGGCCGCGGGAATGAATAACCCTTGCCAGTGGACGGGGGGTCG